AGAACAACTTTTGGGAAAGCAAGGCTATGTGAAATTCAATGGAAACGTCAGCTCTACTTATATCATTGTGTTCTAAAATTTTACTACCAGTCCTTCATCACCTTAAAGGAAATATGGTGAATACACCTCATATAACTGATTTACTGGTAGCCTTGAAACTCTGCTTATATACAAAAAATGTGATATTTAAAGCAGTGAAAGATATTTGATAGTCTTTATAATTACGATTAAGCTACCACTAACATCAAGATGAGCCTTACTTGAAACTTATCGTAGCATATAAAATCTTCCTTACGGTTTATCTGTCATCATTCTATAGATGGCCTGAGTGGCTTCAGGACCAGTTTGATACTGATCACTAAGTTAATTATCAACTCTTCTTTAAAGTTTACATTTGCTTGCTTTATTTTAGTTAATTTCTGAGAGCGTATTTCCTTGCGATCCTCGCTTTGCTCATTTTTGCGCTATTATAATATTATTTTCCTTTAATATTCTTATTACTTCACATTGTTACGAACCTGTCTTAAAAACTATTTCTGCGTTCTCTAAAGCTGTGGCCAAGAGCATATGCTTTTTGCTCAAGTTTTAGAACTATCATCATTTGTACCTTTCTTTTCCACTTTTTTAGTCGGATCGATTTGCCTCTCTTCCAATCGACGCAGTTCCACCTTGGGCTCAGAGCCTGGCCGTCCCGGCACTGATGTTGCCTTTACCCACCATCGAACTCAACTCCAAACTCAAAATCAGCAACAACAGTATCAGCTACATTTACGCTCTGGCAGTACGGTCCCAAGCCTACACTCTTCCACGCGTAATGGGCCTAGTGCGATGGTTTTTGGAGATACAGCCTCAGGCATGAGCTCGAACGTTAGTTCACGACAGACAACGCTTGATCGGCACAGTACGCCTAGCCACTCTAACGCCGGTGGTGTAACTGGCGGACTTGTGCCTCGGGGTCACACCTTATTTCATGTTCCGGCACAGACGCAAGTGCATCCACCTCATGGTCATGACAACTATCCTCATAGCCATGGCCCTCCTGGTTCGCGCCTGCCCCAGCTTACTCAGCGTAGAGCCACAACTATCAGTGCACCAGGTCAAGGCCAACTTCGACATCAGCAACAGCGATCCTCTGTCAGTCTGCTCAACCATTCAGGAAGTGTTAATGGTGTTAGTGTTGAGACTTCTCCTGAGTCCAATGTTCAAAGACCTCTTCACACCGAGGCCTGCAGATCCATACAATCTGAAGAGATGGTCGCAGCAAGCGATGCTGGCTATGGGAAGACTGACGGTAAAAGAGAAGGATCTGATCAGAGCTGTTCTATTAACGAGTATGTCCATCCTTACTATTTATTTCTACTTGATTTGACAACCTAGTCAGTCAGCACCTTAAATTGATATTACTCGAATAACTTTTGAGCCATATTTGATTAACTAATAATTGTTTAGTCGAGGGTATGAAGATCAAGATAAAGCGGCCTTCAGTATGGTCGCAGTCTCC